GGAGAAATAAAGAATTCCCTAGACAAAGACAAGCTGAGGGATTTCATCCATGTTAGACCTGTCCTATAAGAAATATTAAAGGGAGTTCTTCAGCCTGAAAGAAGAGGATGTTAATGAGCAATAAGAAATCATCTGATGGCACAAAACTCACTGGTAATAGTAAGTACACAGAAAAACAGAATATTATAAAACTGTATTTGTGCTGTATAAAGTACTCATATCTCGAGTAGAAAGACTAAAAGATGAGCCATTCAAAAAAAAAAAAAACTACAACTTTTCAAGATATAGACAGTAAAATAATACATAAACAGAAACAACAAAAAGTTAAAAAGTGGAGGAATGAAGTTAAAGTGTAGAGCTTTTATTTGCTTTCTCTTTGCTTGTTTGTTTGTGCAATCAGTATTAAGTTGTCATCAGTTTAAAATAATGGGTTATAAGTACTATTTGCAAGCCTTATGGTAATGTCAAATCAAAGACAATATAACAGACACTGTGAAAGGCAAATAAATCTTGGGATCCCAAAATCACTAAGCTAAAGGGAAAAGTCAAGCTGGGAACTAAATCAGGCAAACCTGCCTCTCATTCTATTCCTAAATAATATAACTACAAAGATGTTTTGAAAGCTATATACCTCCATCACAATTCACTCACAAGGAAATTCCTTCTGGGCCTCAAAATCTTTACCCTAAAACAATTCTGTTGAATTTCACCCTTGTGATGTAAATTGATACCTTATCTTCACAGGTGCCAGACAGAAAGTCATCTCTTTGCTCACCTGAGACAAATGCAGATTCATTGAGCCAGACTAAGGCATAACTGACTATTCCTCTATGTTCCCCAACATGTAAATTGTATATTCAGTGAAAGACTGATCAAAGAGTCAGAAGAATGCATCCTTTTGTCTCGTATCTACCTGGTACCACACCTTATCTACCTGGAACTGTCCCCTCCCTGCCCCCCCACCCATCCTGCCCTGTTTTGAGTTGTCCTGCCTTTCTGGACAAAATCAATGTACATCTTGCACATATTGATTGATGTCTCATGTCTCCCTAAAATGTGTAAAAGTGAGCTGTACCCTGACCACCTTGAGCACATGTTGCCAGGACACAGCCTCCTGAGGGCACATCCTTAACCTTGGCAAAATAAACTTTCTAAATTGATTGAGGCCTGTCTCAGACACTTTGAGTTCACAATACATAAAAACTAAAAAGCAAGAAATTAAGAGATACCACCAGAGAAAATCACATTCACTAAAAGGAAGACCACAAAACAACCAGAAAACAAATAACAAAATGGCAGGCATAAATCCTTACTTATCAAAAATAACATTGAATGTAAATGAAATAAACTCTACAATCAAAAGACATACCATGGCTGAATGGATTGAAAAACAAGACCCAGTGATCTGTTGCCTACAAGAAACACATTTCACCTATAAATATACATATAGACTAAAAATAAATGGATGGAAAAATATATTCCCTGCAAATGGAAGCCAAAAATGAGTAGGAATAGCTATACTTACATCAGATAAAATAGATTTCAAGACACATGCTACCATGCCCAGTTAAATTTTTTTTTTTTTTTAATGTGTTTATAGAGACAGAGGTCTTGATAAGTTGCCCAGGCTTGTACTGAACTCCCCATCTCAAGCCATCTTCCTGTATCAGCCTCCCAAAGTGCTATAGGCATGAGCTACTGGGCCTGCACTGTTTTTCTTTTAATACTTTAGAGACATTGTTCTGTGGTCTGCTGGCTTGCGTTGTTTACACTGAGAATCTGCTGTAATTTTTATGTTTATCCCTCTGTATGTAATATGCCTTTTTTTCTCTTGCATTTTTAATATCTTCTCTTTGTCACATATTTTAATCAATTTGCTTATGAGGAGCCTTGGCATAGTTTTCTTCATGTTTCTTTCACTTGGGGTTTGTTGAGCTTCTTCAATCTATGAGTTTACAGTTTTTGTCAAATTTGGAGTTTTTAGCAATTATTTTTTCACATTTTTTCAGTTTTTTCTCTTTTTTATTTCTTTCTCTCTTTCTTTCTTTTTATAAATAGAGTCAAGGTCTTTCCATGTTGCCCAGGCTTATGTAGTGGTACAATCATAGCTCACTGTAGCCTTGAACTCCTGGCCTTAAGCAATCCTTCTGCCTAAACCTCCCAAATAGCTAGGACTACAGGTTCATGCCACCACACCTGGTTAATGGTTTTCATTTTTTGTAGAGATGGGGCCTTATTCTGTGGCCCAAGATGGTCTTGAACTCTTGGGTGTTGTGGGAAGTCAAGGACCCCAAATGGAGGGACCAGTTGAAGCTGCGGTAGAAGAACATAAATTGTGAAGATTTCACGGACATTTATTCATTCCCACAATTCATACTTTTATGATTTCTTGTGCCCGTCTTACTTTAATCTCTTAATCCTGTCATCTTTGTGAGCTAAGGATGTATGTTGCCTCAGGACCCTGTGATGATTGTGTTAACTGTACAAACTGTTTGTAAAACATGTGTGTTTGAACAATATGAAATCAGTGCACCCCACCCTGAAAAAGAACAGAATAACAGCAATTTTCAGGGAACAAGGAAAGATAACCATAAAATCTGATTACCTGCAGGGTCAGGCAGAATAGAGCCATATTTTTCTTCTTGCAGGAAGCTGATAGATGGATGTGCAAGTAGGAGAAATAGCGCTGAATTCTTTTCCTGGCAAGGAATATTAATAATTGATAAGGAAGGAATGCATTCCCAGGGCTAGGTCTATAGACAGCTGCTCTGGGAGTGTCTGTCTTATGCAGTTGAGATAAGGGATAATATACACCCTGGTCTTCTGCAGTGCCCTCAGGCTTACTAGGATTGGAAATTCCAGCCTGGTGAATCCGAGTCAGATCAGTTGCCTGCTCTTGAACCCTGTTTCCTGTTAAAATGTTTATCAAGACAATGCATGCAAAGCAGGACACAGACCCTCATCAGTAATTCTAATTTTGCCTTTGCCTTGTGGTATTTATGGCCCTTTGAAGCATGTGATCATTGTAACCCACTCCCTGTTTGTATACACTTCCCTTTTCAAAATCCCTAATAAAAACTTGCTGTTTTTGTGGCTCAGGTGGATATCACAGAACCTGCTCATATGTGATGTCACCCCTGGAGGCTCAGCTATAACATTTCTCTCTTTGTACTCTTTCTCTCTATTTCTCAGACCGGCCAACACTTAGGGAAAATAGAAAAGAACCTACATTGAAATATTGGAGGCTGGTTCCCCCAAAACTGGGGCTCAAGCAATCCTCCTGCTTTGGCCTCCCAAAGTGCTGGGATTACAGGTGTGAGCCACCACACCTGGCATATTTTTATTTTTTCTTAATTTTTGTCTTTATTTTGCTTTTTAGTTTTTCTTTCAGCTTTCCGAGGTTGAATGCCCTTGTCTCTTGAATAATTCAGAGACTATAATTTTATATATGTTAGGCCTTTTGAAGTTGTCCCGTAGCTAATACTGTATTTATTTTCCATTATTTTTTATTTGTCTCATTTTCAAAAGTTTCTATTTCTTTAAGTTTACTAACATTTTTTCTTTTGTAGCATCTAATCCACTGTTAACATAGTCTCTATTTTATCTCAAGTATTATCTTTTTTATTTCTTATAGTTTCATTTGAGTCTGTCTTTCTCTCCTCAGAACTTGCAGGGATGAAAGAGTCATTTAAATATCTTCTTTATTTTAACATACTTATGTTTCCTCTACCTTTGTGAACATATAAAATATAATTTATAATGTAATATAAATATTCATTATAACTTTTAATATACTTGCTTATGAATTCTATTCTCCATCTCATTTCTGGATCCCTTTCAGTTATTCATAATTCTCCTCATTTTGGGTCATATTTTTTTGCTTATTTGCATGTCACATGATATTTGCTGGATGCCAGACATTGTGAATTTTGTCTTGTTGAGTAATAGGAATTCTTGTATTGCTTTCGTTTCAATATTCTTGTGCCTTGTCCTGGGACACAACTGTCAGTTGGAACCAGTTTTACCTTTCCTTTCTTTTTCTTTTTTTTTTGAAACAGTCTTGCTCTGTTACCCAGGTTGGAGTACAGTGGTGCAGTTCCAACTCACTGCAACCTCCGCCTCCCAGGTTCAAGCAATGCTCGTGCCTCAGCCACATAAGTAGCTGAGATTACAGGCATGTACCACCATGCCTGGCTAATTTTTGTATTTTTAGTAGAGATGGGGGTTTTGCCATGTTGGCCAAGCTGGCCTCCAACTTCTGGCCTCAAATGATCTGCGCATCTCAGCCTCCCAAAGTGTTGGGATTACAGGTGTGTGAGTCACCAGGCCCAGCCTATCTTTCCTTACTTTTAAACTTTGTGAGATGTGACCAGAGCAGTCTTTAGTCAAGAGTGATTTTGTCCCACTTCTGAGGAAATATTCTTCTGAGTTCCATACCCAAAATTCCATGTATTACAAAGTTTTCCCACTCTAATTGGTGAGAATGTCCACTATTCTAGGCTCTGTGTTTTTTTGTTGTTTGTTTGTTTATTTGTTTTTTTGAGACAGAGTCTTGCTCTGTTTCCCAAACTGGAGTGCAGTGGCGTGATCTCAGCTCACTGCAACCTCCATCTCCCAGGTTCAAGCGATTCTCCAGCCTCAGCCTCCTGAGTAGCTGGGACTACAGGTGCCCACCACCACATGTGACTAAATGTTGTATTTTTAGTAAAGACAGAGTTGCACCATATTGGCCAGGCTGGTCTCAAACTCCTAACCTTGTGATCCACCCACCTCAGCCTCCCAAAGTGCTGGGATTACAGGTGTGAGCCACTGAACCTGGCCTTTGTTGGTTTTTTTTTAATGGTATGAATCTCATTTATTAAAAATATTATTTCTCACCTTTCTCAAATTGAAGACTGCAAATAATAAAAGCAGTGCTTTATTGAGGTGTCATTAACCCTGGGAGGGAGCAGCAGAGCTGCCTCTCCACGCTCCAGGAAACCACAGCTCGCATGTGACATATCTATCCCATCTTGCTTTACAAAACAGTCCTGAGGCTGGGCACGGTGGCTTACACCTGTAATCCCAGCACTTTTGGGGGCAAGGCAGATGGATCACCTGAGCTCAGGAGTTCAAGACCAGTCTGTCCAACATGGTGAAACCCCATCTCTACTAGAAATACAAAAATTAGCCAGACGTGGTGGTTGGTGCCTGTAATCCCAGCTACTCTGGAGGCTGAGGCAGGAGAATGGCTTGAACTTGGGAGGGAAAGGTTGCGGTGAGCCGAGATTGTGCCATTATAATCCAGCCTGGGTGACAAGAGTGAAACTCTGACTCAAACAACAACAACAACAACAACAAAACAGTTCTGAAGCTTAATCAAATGAAACTATTATACACGAAATTTACATTAGAAAAAGAGAGTTGGGTGTAGGAAAGCCGGGAGTGGTGTTCCCTTTAAGCTAAGGTCTCTCGGCAGTTGGGGCATCTTCGCTTCCTCGAGGCAAAACAGCAGATGAACCCAAAGGGGAACAGGATGATGACCAGGAAGATGCCCAGGAAGGTGAAGCAGTCCTCCAGCACCCCCAACCCTGCAGAGGGGACAGCTTCCCACGACCGTGATGGAGTTGGCAGGGTACTGGGTGGCAGTCCGGCTGTAGATGTTGTAGACCCTGGGGTGGCGGGTGGGTACCCCTGTGATGAGGTAGGGGTAGGGCTTTGGCGGGGGCTGGCAGGGGTGGCACCATAGCTGTGCAGGGTGCATGCACAGTTGCCCTGGACGGCCTGCAGTTTGTAGGCCAACAGCCACTCCTGCAGCAGGGGCTTGTGGTCCACGGCTGACCCACTCAGCTCGGTCGGCCCCAGTGGTGACCCTAATCTTGAGGAGTTTCCTCACAGATGTGTGCTGACCAGTACCTACATAAGGGAGGAGGGATCCACTCACTGCAGATTTCGAGAGTTCTCTCTCCCCACTCCTCTTCAGCACTGTGTTCTGCAAATCCTGGCTGCCTTGGCCTCCCTATACTCCCAACAATGTCTCCTCAACTCATTGACAACCCAGGTGTATTCTCTATGCTGTAGTCTGGAGACTCTAGGCAGGAAGCTGGGTCAATCATTAGGCTCACTTCATTTGTTTTTCCTGCTTTCAGGGATTACTGCTCTCTTCTGTTATTCAATGTCTGAAAACCATTGTTTCAAATACATACTTTTTGGTGTTTTAGTTATTTAAGGCAAGAGAATTAATCTGGTCTTGTTACTCCATCTTTTTTACAGAAAGTACGAGGTGTGAGGGCAGGGTTGGGGTGGCCAGTAATTTAGAACTATTTGTCACAAATAAGCATTTTGGCACGACAGCAAAGCTGCTAAGCGCGCCTAATATGACCACTGCTCCCCGCCATCAGATATGTGCTTTTTATGCCTTTTAAAGAGGTAACATTGAGTACATGCACAATTACATAATGTAAATTAATAGCCACCCTATTTCATAAAAATAAAGAGCAAAAGTATATATTAGTTCTCACAATTATATTTGGTGATTTATGCTTCAATATTTTATCTTACTTCAAAATTCCCCAGCTATCCAAAGATTATCTATTAATTCAATTTACTACAGTCCAAAGGCTTAATTTAACTAAAGATTTTAGGTATTATGCTGAATCTAACACAATACAAAATATAATTAATGCTGATATAAAAACATGTATCAGAATTATAATTCAGCCGGGCGCAGTGGCTCATGCCTGTAATCCCAGCACTTTGGGAGGCTGAGGGAGGTGGATCACTCAAGCTCAGGAGTTCAAGACCAGCCTGAGAAACATAGCAAAACCTTGTCTCTACTAAAAATACAAAAATTAGCTGGGCATGGTGGCATGTACCTGTACTCCCAACTACTCGGGAGGCTGAGGTGGGAGGGTCAGTTCAGCCCAGGCAGGTTGAGGCTGCAGTGAACTGAGATTGCACCAATGTACTCCACCTTGGGTGACAGAGTGAGACCTGCCTCAAAAAAATAAATAAATATATTATAATTCAATGTCATTGATTGTATTATTTTATATTTTCAGTATTCTTAAACATTATGTGGGGTATAATGTTATCTGATCTATAAATAGAATAAGTTTAGGAAACTCAGATTAACCAGTCTCTCCATTAGAAAACAAACTCAATTTTATTTTTAAAAATTATACATTTGTATTATACTCCATACTGATAAAATTGTGGAAAGACAATGCTGTTTTTTTTTTTTTTTTTTTTTGTTGAGACGGAGTCTGGCTCTGCAGCCCAGGCTGGAGTGCAGTGGCCGGATCTCAGCTCACTGCAAGCTCCGCCTCCCGGGTTTACGCCATTCTCCTGCCTCAGCCTCCCAAGCAGCTGGGACTACAGGCGCCCGCCACCTCGCCCGGCTAGTTTTTTTGTATTTTTAGTAGAGACGAGGTTTCACCGTGTTAGCCAGGATGGTCTCGATCTCCTGACCTCGTGATCCGCCCGTCTCGGCCTCCCAAAGTGCTGGGATTACAGGCTTGAGCCACCGCGCCCGGCCCGACAATGCTGTTTTTTAAGCCATTATCATACTCATTTGTCTAAGGATTTTGGTGATCTTTGAACTCAGCTTCTTATATCAAAATGCTCCTGAGCAAAACCTTCTATGAGAATAATTTTTTTTTCTTGGCACTTCCTGAGTAATGTATTACAAGTTTCATTTCTTTATTTTCAAGGACTTCTAGGAATATTAAATTTATATAAGCACTTACTAGTCTCCATAAACCAATAAAATCAGAGCTCATTTTTTCAAAAAGAATTTAATTTAATAATACTTTTTACCCTAATTTACTAATATTTCATCTTCCATTCAAAAGAGATAAAGGCTGTTTCAATTGCAAACACATAGACATCAGAGAGCACGCAGTTGAGTTTTACAATCTCATCCACAGGTCAAAAGTCAACATGGTAACACAATAACATTCTGGCTAGATCTCAAAGACTTGTTCCCCTTTCCAGTGAGCATTAAATATTGTTTTAATTGACTTGCACTCACAATAGACAAACAGAAACAAAAAAAAAAGACTAATAAACCATATTTTCCGTTTGTCATACTTCCCCCAAAGGAAAATAGTTCCTCCTCATCCTAAGAGAGATCTCCAAGGGGATAGGCAATAAAACCAGACTCTTAATTATTGCTGCCAACAGTGAGGAATTAATTATCAGTCATGTTCAGAACCCAGAGAGGCTCAGGTTTTCATACACATAGTGGGTGCCTGATGACCAGCCTGGTAGTGCATTACACACAACTTCCTTGACCATGCTGTAGAAAAAGGCATGGCTCACAGCACTGTTTTCTAAGAACACATGAATATATGAGGTGCTCTCTTGATTATGAAGCCAAGACTGGCCTACTGGTTCATTAGCAGAGGTGTGCTGTGGCTGGGCCCCATTGGCTCATGAGAGACGATTATGCTTAGCTCTTCCTAACTCTGCATTCAGTGACGTCACATTGGTAGGTTAAAAGGTCCATGTTACCAGTATTTATACCACAGAATTTAATAAATGTTGAAAATCAGCCCCTGCTGCCACCTCAAAGTGAAGCAGCCATGTTGTCTGGGATGACACCCCAAGTTCTTGGTCTCACAGCCAAGGAAATCAAGGCTGTGGACACACCAAGTGTGAGGTTTACAGCAGAAATTTCATAGATGAAATAAAGAACAGCTTTCTGCAATAGAGAGGGGTCCAGGAAAAAGGGTTGCCATTTTTTACAGTTGAATGCAAAGGCTTTGATAAGAAACCCATGAGGGTTGGGCATCTCATTTGCATAAGGTGCAAACTTCTGGGGGCTCCACCCCATCCTCCTAAAGCACATACAGGCCCTTAGCTTGAGTTACTCCATATTCCTTTGTTCCCCTTGCTGTGCACATGTTAGGGGACAAAATTTTCCATTGTGGGCATACCTGGGCAAGTCACTCTTGTAGCCTTTCTTATCTGTGTGGCTGTGGGCACGTCTTAGGCAAGTCCTGCTGTATAAGCTCCCTTATCTGTGCCTGCAGGCTGTTCTTCTGTTTGAGAGAATGCAACCGAGGACCCACCCTTACTGCCTGCCTGACTGGGTTTTTTCCTTTCTCCTCTCATGAAAGAACCAATTGTTAAACATTTACCTGCATATTATTTTCTTTTACTCACTAGTTCCTGAATCTGGTAATGGAAAAAGAAATGGCCCAAATCACAAATTAGATAACACAGATTAATACAGTTGTCCAACAAAATAAACAAAAACAAAAACATAGAATGTTAAAAAAAAAAAAAAAAAAAAGAAGCAGGGGAACAGTCAGCCAGCCCAAACTTCTGTTGCCACATACCTGGATTTCAGCAACCCATAAGGTAAATTTTTAGGCAGTTTAATTGGCTCTGCCTAGTGAGTATACCTGGACATTTCAGTGAGACCTCCAAACTGGTTTTAAAGTATAAATTGCAAAAACTAATAACATGACTCTCACATAAATATAGAATGAATATGTGTCAAAAATTTTTTTCAATTTATCAATGAGAAAACCAACACGGGAGTCAAGCTCATTCAAAGACATATAGAAGAAATTTTACATAAATATAACCAAGGTACCATTCCAACTATATCTGGTCAACCATTGAAAGCACTCTCCCAAGTCTCACTTGGTTTTTGCCCTTCCTAGTACCTTTGATAGCCATCTTATTATTACTAATCTGGTCCTTGATTGTTTAATCTCTTGGTAAAAGTCTGTGTCTTCTAGATTAAAACAATTCCACATAAAGATGATGCTGGCACAAGGCTTCTAACACATGCCATCTTCTGACCCAAGAAGTAAAGATATCCTGCCTTTGGGTCCCTTAGATCAGGCATCCAGAGATTTTTACACCTCCAATACTAGGCAAGGCCTATGCCCATCAAATCATCAGGCCATCACACAAACAAGAAGTTCCCCTGCCTCCCTAGAGGCTGACTGCAAACTCTTATGAGAGAATCCTGTCCCTAAGGTCAATGTTCACTGTCAGCAAAAAGAAGTTACAAAACAATGACCTTCAGCTGGGTGTGGTAGCTCACATCTGTAATCTCAACACTTCAGGAGGCCGAGGCAGTAGGATCTCTTGAGCCCACAAGTTCAAGACCAGTCCAGGCAACATAGCGAGACCCTGTCTCTACACAAAATACAAAAATTAGCCAGGCATAGTGGAGTGTACCTTTGGTCCCAGCTACTCAGGAGGCTGAGGTGGGAGGATGGCTTCAGCCCAGGAGGTCAAGGTTGCAGTGAGCTGTGATTGCAGCACTGCACTCCAGCCTGGTTGACAGAGCAAGACCTTGTCTCAGCAACAAGAGCTTACACCTGTAATCCCAGCACTTTGGCAGGCCAAGGCAGGTGGATCACTTGAGGTCAGGAGTTCGAGACCAGGCTGGCCAACATGGTGAAACCCTGTCTCTACTAAAAATGCAAAAATTAGCCAGGCATGGTGGCAGGCGCACCTGTAATTCCAGCTATTCGGAAGGCTGAGGAAGGAGAATCGCTTGAACTTGGGAGGCAGATGTTGCAGTGAGCCAAGATCACGCCACAGCACTCCAGCCTGAACAACAGAGTGAGACTCTGTCTCAAAACAAACAAACCAAAAAAACTAGCAACAACAACAACAACAACATCAACCTTTGCCCTTCATCTCCCTTTAAGATGAAGAATTGTCTCATAAGTAGAGGGGGGATTATGTTAGGGAAACAAGAGCATAGGAGAGCCAAGGTGACACCATTTTAAAATCAACTCCATCTTAAAACCATCAAGGCACATTCCTTGCCAGTCAGAACCCATGATTATAAGATGTTTACAGCTAAAGAAATAGCTTAATAATGTCTGCAAGGACTGTTTCCCAAGACAATGGGACACATGACCCTACGGATAAGACAGGAGACAGATAAAAACAAGTCACAAAACCCTGCTAGTAAGACAAGAGATAGTAAAAAACAGGTAACAAGACCCTGCTGATAAGAGAGGAGACAGTAAAGAAACCAGCCCAAACCAGCCAGAACCAAGAAGGTGATGACAGCAACCTTCACTGCTCATTATACGCTAATTATAATGCATCAGGATACTAAAAAACACTCCCACCAGTGCCATGACAATTTGCAAATGTTGTGGCAATGTCCAGAAGTTATCCTATATGGTGAGGATGGGGGAGAAACCCCAGGTGTGGGGAGCTCCTCTACCCTTTGCCAGAAAACTCATGAATAATCCATGCCTTGTTTAGCATATCATCAAGAAATTGCTATAAAATAGGCAACTAGCCCCCTCCCACCCTGCTCTGCCTGTGGAGCAGTCACTCTTTTATTACTTTGCTTTTTAATAAACTTGCTTTCACCTAAAAAAAAAGTATAGAAGAAACAGAAATATTTATAGTCAATGAAAGAAAAAGTGCAAAAATAAGATTACAAAGTTGGATACAAACTAGTCAATTTCCTACAGGGCCTATGGGGAAATAAATATTTCATCAGCTATGAAAGCTGTAAATAATAGCTGTAATTATTATCTCACTTGAATAACCTTGTTTAAATAGTCTGTTTCTTGCATCTCTACTTTGTCTGAGCTGGACCCTGGCAAAGAAGAGAAGAAAAATATTCATTCTGCCATAGATTCCCACCCCTGAGAAAAGAAAAAAATTCGCTTCTAATAATGTTAATGTTAATTGGGATGTTGTATACAAAGATGATGTCACAGCTATTTTTGCTTGTAGATGTATCTGGTTTCTGTTATTAACAGTAACTGAGATTGTAGAAAAACATGGAATAGATCAGTGTTTATCAAAATTTGAACTCACACACAAAGAATGTTTGAGCTTTAGCAACACTTCACTAAAAGCTTTATTAGTCCATTCTCACACTGTTACAAAGAACTACCTGAGACTGGGTAATTTATCAAGAAAAGAGGTTTAACTGACTCACAGTTCTGCAGTCCATACAGGAAGCATGCCTGGGGAGGCCTCAGGAAACTTACAATCACGGCAGAAGAGGAAGGGGAAACAGGCACGTTACATCCTCCGTGGCTGAAGCAGGAGGAAGAGAGGGGAAATGCTACACACTTTCAAACAACCAGATCTTGTGAAACTCTATCACAAGACAGCTCTAGGGGGATGGAACTAAACCATTCGAAACCACCCCCATGATCTAATCACCTCCCACCAGGCCTCACCACCAATGTTGGGGATTACAATTCAACATAAGATTTGGGTGGGGACAGAGACCCAAACCATATCAAAAATTAAAACATTGTTACTTAAGGTGAATCCTTCAATCATGTGATTATAAATAACAGAAGATTATAAATAACCAAAGAGAGACTTCAGGAGCTAAAAGATAAACAGGAATAAAGTATACACACTTAAATGTGGACACTGAAATCACAATAGTTTCTGGCCATAAGATGGTCATCAGAAAATGTAGGGGATAGTGAAAGGAACAGATATATATGATCACATACATATATATAGTTTTGTTTTATTTTGTTTGAAATGTTGTCTAGCTCTGTCACATAGGCTGGAGTGCAGTGGCACGATCTCGGCTCACTGCAACTTCTGTCTCCCAGGTTCAAGCTATTCTCCCACCTCAGCCTCCCAAGTAGCTGGGGATTACAGGCACCTGCCACCGTGCCCAGCTGACTTTTTGTATTTTTTTTTTTTAGTAGAGATCAGGTTTCACTGTGTTGGCCAGGCTGGTCTCTAACTCCTGACCTCAATTGATCTGCCCACCTCAGCCTCCCAAAGTGCTGGGATTACAGGTGCGAGTCACTGCACCTGGCCCCAAGTGTGTTGCCTTTAAGTGGTGTGTTTTTCCAAAGAGTGAAAGCCTTTTCCAAATTCCGAAGTTTGAAATTTGTCCTCTGCTGCATGGTTGTTACAGTCCTGGGAAATTGTTTATTAAATGATGCACAACATATTTTGAGTTTGGATATAAAATGGAATTAGGTTCTGGACTCAGGTAATTATACTTTTTCCACCTCCATGGCTTTCTGGTGAGACATTGGAACACCAGCCTATTTATCATGCAGTTAAGAGCCTACAAGTCTAAATTTTAATGTGTAACTAGCAGAACAAGTGCAAATTTTCTGAAGATACAGGTGAGCATGAGGGGCCCCTCGTAATTCGCTATCTCAGCTCTTCAGTTGTAAAATATTTAGAATTTTTGTGAAAACCTAATGAGTGGAGGTATGTTGGTGAGGATATTTTGGAAAGAGGCAAATTGGACATCTAATCCTGCTTAAGTTCCTATTTAACAAGACAATGATGACCCAGGGGGAAATTTTTGGTTGTTGTAATTATTCACCTTTTAAGACATAATAAGAAGTGTTAATGTCTCAGGAAAGCCAATCCTGGTTCTAGCCAAATGAATTATTCCACTTAACACTTGTTTACAGCAGTTTTCACAATAGTAATTTAAATAATTACTTATATAATTTTATTTAAAACCTGTCCCTCCATTGGACTGAAGGCAGCAGGAGGGGTAAGACAATGGTATTATCAGTGCCTAGTACAATGACTGGCACATAGATGAACCCAATATGTTTTTGCAGAATGAATAGACAAATATCAGAAGCATTATAAAATTAATAAAAAGTCTATGAAAATAGCTGTATAAATTGTAAGACACAATATTTCTCTTTATTTTGGGACAGCTTAAAATCTGCATTTATTTATTTATTTGTTTATTTATTTATTTATTTTGAGCTGGAGTCTCACTCTATCACCCAGGCTGGAGTGCAGTGGCACTATCGTGGCTCACTGCAACCTCCGCCTCCCAGCTTCAAACAATTCTACTGCCTCAGCTTCCCGAGTAGCTGGGATTACAGGCACCCGCCACCACGCCCAGCTAATTTTTTTATTTTTAGTAGAGACGGGGTTTCACCATGTTGGCCAGGATGGTCTCGAACTCCTGATCTCAGGTGATCCACCCACCTTGGCCTCCCAAAGTGCTGGGATTACAGGCGTGAGCCACCACACCCGGCCATGGGTACACTCTTATAAAGAGAGCTACTGCTCCCAGTTCTGTCCTATTGGTGCCTTTTAAGGTAGGCTTGTGTCGTAATGAGACAGCACTGGAGTGAGATGCGGCTATTCCTTTACATATTTTTTTTCTTTTTCTTTTTCCTTCTCTTTACAAAACCTCCTTTACAGTAGTACCTTGCTGACACTGTACCTGCTAACCCTGAGGCTTTAGTCATAAAAGGAAAATCGCCATTCCTCTGTACTCTCATAGTGTCTAACCAGGCCTGTTACTTAAATAACTCTAGAAACTGTCATTAGGCTAGCCAAATAGCAAACCAAGGTTGTTGAGTGTCCCACCTTGGAAAACAATGCTGAACAATTGATTTATGGCCTCGTTGCTGCCAGCCAGACCACAGATGGCCCATTACTCAAGATAACCATGGCAACCAGATATGCTGACCTGCACACTCTAGCCCAGCCTCGCCTTGCTTACCCTACCCCTGATGTCAATTCCCACACTTTGCCTCGTAAAAGATTCCTTACTGGCTCTTTTCAGGCTGCCAGCCAGAGAACCCTTGTGCCTCTACTGCCATCCTTGTGCTTGAGCACAAGCCCCAAAGTAGAGCCTTGTCTGGGAAATATACTTGGTCCCGTGTTATTTTCCATTACATGGGGAGCCTAAGAGCCTGTGGATCTGTAACAAAAATTAAATACTTAGGGAGAGAACATGCCTGAAAAGAACTGTTGCAAAATTGAAGCTGCTGGGGCTGTTTCAGGAAACTTCTCTTCAACTTATGTCACCCAGGCATGATTATTTAAACTAAAGTTTAAACTAGAATACCAGCTGGGTGCAGTGACTCACATTTGTAATTCCAGCACTTTGGGAGGCCAAGGTGGAAGGATTGCTTGAGGCCAGGAGTTTGAGGCTGCAGTGACCTATGATCATTCCACTGTACTCTGGGTGACAGAGTGAGGCCCTGTCTTTAAAAAAATAAAAATATAGCCAGGCACGGTGGTTCATGCCTATAATCCCAGCACTTTGGGAGGCCGAGGTAGGTGGATCACCTGAGGTCAGGAGTTCAAGACCAGCCTGGCCAACATCATGAAACCTCGTCTCTACCAAAAATACAACAAAATTTTAACCAGGCATGGTGGTGCACGCCTGTAGTACCAGCTACTCGGGAGGCTGAGGCAGGAGAATCGCTTGAACCCAGGAGGCAGAGGTTGCAGTGGGCCGAGATAGCACTATTGCACTTCAGCCTGGACAAAAAGAGTGAAACTCCGTCTCAAAAAAATAAATAAATAAATAACATAGCAAAATAATTTCTCAAATAGAAATATAATTTGATATGGGGGTTTTGATGATTCACGATATTCAGGAAGGAATGTGATATTACACTTTCCTTAACAGATGGCCAGGCGTGGATCACACCTGTAATCCTAACACTTTGGGAGGCTGAGGCAGGAGGATCACTTGACTTCAGGAGTTTGAGACCAGCCTGGGCAACATAGTGAGACCCTATCTTTAGGAAAAAAAAAAAAGTTAAAAACCCATTAATGAATGGCGATGGCATTACACTAGGTACTCAGACTGCTAAGATGAAAAAGACAAGCTGCTTTCCAAGAGTTTATCAGGTAATGGAGATAGATATATGCAGAGACCTCTCTAATAGATGGCAGGATTTGATACCTGCTGAATAAAGAAGCATTCTAGAAGGTTAGGAAAGAGAGAGATATTTGTGCTTTTAGCTCAAGACATTTGATATTTTACTTGCTGCAAAAACTTGAAGAACTTAATTTTGGCTGACATTCATTCAGCACTACCTCCATGGCAGGTACCATTTTAAGCACTTTATGTTTTAAGCTATGAAATGTTTACAGAACATCTTAATATTGGTAGCATTATTGTTGTTTTACTGATGATTAAGCTGAAGCACAGAAAGGTTAAGTAACTTGCCCAGAATCACACAGCCAGAAAGTATTAATAGCATAACTGAGATCTGAAACCAGGCATTGCAAGTCAGGACTTTCGCCACCGTGCTCTGCCATCATGGAAGGAAGGAAGTTGCAGGAAGAAGTGGAATCAGGGAGCTCCATGTGAAAGAACTGGTCTTTGTGTTTAGTTTTGTTTTGTTGTTTGAGCCAGGGTCTCGCTCTGTTGCCCAGGCTAGAGTGCGTTAAAACAATTACAGTTCACTGCAGTCTCAACCTCCTGGGCTCAAGCGATCCTCCCACCTCAGCCTCCCATGTAGCCACCATCCCTGGCTAATTTTTAAATTTTTTGTAGAGACACGGTTTCACTTTGTTATCCAAGATGGTCTCAAACTCCTGGGCTCAAGCAGTCCTCCTACCGTGGCCTCCCAAAGTGCTGGTATTACAGGCATGAGCCACGAAGCCTGGCCAAGAACTGGTCTTTAAACAGAGTCTCCCTATAAAAGCAGAATCCTATGTTAAAAGAGTAATTCCTTTTATGCAAAACGGCAGGAAAACGTCTGCATCTACAGAAGTCCTACATCATTATTATTTTTCACTCATGTCATAACCTTCACTGAAGGGGTCTATAGGAAATTTGGAACGCCAGTGAAAAGTAAGGTAACAGATTACTATAATTCACATCACAGTTCTAGACAGTGAACGCCCCGAAGGCGTTCCTGAAGTCTCTTTCATTTTTGCAGTCTCGGTTCCAAGAGCTAAGAAAAAACTCCTATATCATGTACACATCTGTGTCAGAGAGTAAGTAACCAGTATTTTCTGATAGCAGGCAATCTTTTTATAATAGAACGAAGCTCTGTGAAGTAAAACTTACTGTGATAGTGAAAATGTTCTCTACTCTGCACTGCGTCACTAATGGCCACGTGTGGCTGTGGAGCACTTGACATGTGGCTCGTGTGACTGAGGAGCTGAATTTTAAGTTTTATTTCATTTTAATTAATTTAAATTTAAATAGCCACACTTGGCAGCATGGACTGTTACATGAATTTCAATTCTTTCCAAACCTCTGGTGTGGTTCCAGATAA